GATGTTCAATTAATCTCAAAAACTCTTATTTTTATGCATTTAAGTCTTTTTCTGCACAACAAATGAAAATCATGTAAAATCTCATAAAATTCATCTAAATATTAATAATATCAAAATAAAAATTCCACATTAATATTTATATGAATTCAGCTTATCTATGAATGAAGGCCAAGTAAGACTCACACTGCCACCTTGATTTCAATTATCGGAGCTCTGGTTCTAACTTCTAAGGATCCATTTCACTCATTAAACTGATGCATTTAACAGCCAAAAGTAATATGGGACAGCTCAATATTATTTCTAAGACATTGGCCAAAGCTGTACCTGTATTAGCTGAATCTTTTTTTTTTTTTTTTTTTTTTGGGGGGGGGGGGGGGGTGCTCCCTCTTTCATTTCATGAGAATGAGCTTTAATTTTGCATTACCAGCTACCAAGAATATATGTCAATTGCATCACATGATCAAAGCTTCACAGAAGTGATTACTACAACCTTAACAAGTATTATTAATTTGAAGCAATGAACAATATTTATGGGGTCTGAGGACTCTGGGCAATTGGTTCTGCCTCAGAGGATGTTCGGATCCTTGATTCAGGCTGTCGAATTTCCTCTATCATTCTAACAACTTCATCCATTTTAGGACGCATGTCTGGTGTTTTGACCACGCATGCCAGTCCAATTTGAAGCATCTGTACCATCTCCTCGTCTACATTTTGGCATTTAAATAACTCTACATCAAATACCTCCGCAGTCCATTCCTCCCTGACAACAGAGCGCACCCACCTTGGGAGATCAACCACATCATCGTGCCCGGAAGGCTGGAGGGGGGCTTTCCCTGTCAGCATCTCCAGGAGCAGCACCCCAAAGCTGTATACATCAGACTTTTGAGTCATTTTGCGCGTTTGGATCACCTCTGGAGCACGGTATCCTACGGTACGAGACATTGTTACTGGGATGTTCATCAAGGGAGCCAAACCAACATCTGAGACGCAGCCATCAAGGTCCTGGGTGAGGAGGACATTGGAGGACTTGATGTTGCCATGTATGCATTTGACACCACCCTCATTATGAATGTGGGCAATTCCTCTGGCAGTTCCCAGGGCAATTCTCATTCTGGAATTCCAGTCCAGTGGGTTTCTCCCTGCACTCCCACTTCCTGTAATATATTGTCAATGAGTTCGTGATAAATAGTTGATAGATAGACAGGATTATGCTATCTAATATTACAAGTTGATGAAATTTCTAAATCCATTGAAAACCAATGTCTGCATCCAACTATATGACAAGTTTCATACATTCTAGTACAATTCTTAGGTGATGGAATTGCTAGATGATGAACATAGAGAAATAGGAAACACGCATACCATGCAAGAGTGACAACAAGCTGCCTGTTGGCATGTAGTTGCAGACTAAAAGCTTCTCATCCTTGGAATAGTAATAAGCATTTAGTGAGGTCACATTCGGGTGTCGTCCCACTCTCCCAACAATCTCCATTTGCTGTTCAAATTCCTTTTTACCGACACAAACCTCCTTCAACCGTTTAACTACTACAGTTGTCCCCTCCTCCAATACAGCTTTATATGTTGTTCCATAACCCCCCTTGCCAAGAACTTCAGCCGAGGCCTTCAATAAATCCTCTAGATCAAAATTGTAGGAGCCACCTTCAAAGAAGAACAATTTGTTCTTTTCAGCTTCTTGCACTCCACTTCCAAAGTCTTTAGGCTGCTCACCTTTCCCAGCTCCAGAGAGCTTTGCTTTAAACATGCCACGGACTTCACTACCTCTCTTCTTCACCACACACATAATGATCACCGCTACTAGTAGTAACAGAAATGCCAAGGCACCAACCGATATGGCAATTGCAGCATGTGGACTTAATCTTTTGTTGGAAACAAGGTTTTGATTTCGAGATGCCACTGGGTACGGAAAGTTAGATGGAGAAGGAGAAGGAGAAGGATGAGGTGAAGAAAAAGGTGAAGAGGCGTCTGTGGAGCAACGTTTGAGAGGCGAGCCACATAGTAAGGAATTCCCAACAAATGAAGAAGAAGGGAAGTTTTGGAGGGAATGTGGAATAGAGCCAGTCAACTTGTTGTAGCTTAAATTCAAAACCTTGAGGCTTGGGAGGTTAGGAGAGGGGATGGGTCCTGATATGGAATTGTTTTGGAGGTTTAGAACAGCAAGTTGTGTTAGGTTCTGAATTGATGGCGGAATGGTTCCTGTGAAGGAGTTGTAGGACAAGTCAAGTACATAGAGTTGGGGAGAAAGAGAGGTGGGAAGGGCGCCAGAGAAGTTATTATGTTGGAGGTATAAGTACTGGAGGGAAGGAAGAGAAAGGACATCGGGAGGAAGTCGGCCATTGAGATTGTTGGATCGAAGGCTAAGTACCCTAAGAGCATCAAGCTTGGATATGGTGTTGGGTGGAATGGTGCCAGAAAGAGCAAGAGCTGGAAGATGGATGGCAATAACACGCGTTGCATTGAGATTGCAAGCAATGCCAAACCAGGAGGTGCAAACTGGAGAAGCACGATTCCAGTTGAGTCTTGGAGAGTGGGGGGTGGAAGAAGCAAAGTGAAGAAGGGCTTGGGTGTCAGAGTTCAGGTCTGCTAGAACCAGCAGAGTGTTGAAGTTAATGTTGATACATATGGATAGGGAAGAAAGCAAGAGGAGAAGGAAAGGGTGAAGGTTCATGGTGATGGCATTAAGTCAGAGAAAAACAATTTGTTGAAGCTTAAATTAAATGAAGATGAAGGGAATACATATACAAATAATTATTGTTTTCTTGTGAGAAAGCTAAAAGATAAAAAGGAAAAAAGGAAAAAAAGAAAAAAAGAATCCAAGAAAGCAAAGCAAAGCAAAGAAAAGAAAAGAAAAGCAGGATTATAAATGATAAAGAAAAAGCAAAAGTAAAGTTGCACTATTGTTTGTTGTGTAAAGTGAGGGTGAATGATGTTCACTTTAGGACTCTAAAGAGTCATTCTGCAATTCAAGATAACCAAGAATTAAGCTACTTGCTATAATTAAAAGAGGAAAGAAATAATTAAAAGGCAATAGACCTTGATTTTAAATCTTATAATAATAATAATTAACATTTACTTTAGCATAAAGAAAGGAAGACCTCACCTCACTTGGTTTTTTCAGTTTATTAGAAATTAACTGTTTAACAGTATATAGATTTGAACTTTTAATCTTAACTCAAAATTAAAATTTCTAAATTAATAAATATCAATTTAACTAAATTCTTATTAGTAATTCCCCTATTTGAATTGGTAATGAACAGCTCTGCACGCACCTGGCCCTTGAGCCTAGTGACTTTAGTAACCGGTACATTCCCCCGGGCAGGTTCCAAACCCACCCTTGCAAAATATGTTAAAAAAAAAAAAAAAGAACAGCTCTGCACTGTTTTTCAATCCAATTGGGTTTGGGAGGCAGCAGACTAGACTTGAGGTTTTCCAATCCAAACTGGTTGGGGCCTGTGGGGGAAATTATTTTTTGGGCTGGGCAGTATAAAAAACACTGTAGTAGCATATCCAGTGTAAGTGGTGTGTAACCCACACCCAAGAAAATAAAAATCCGACCCGACAGGTCCATATTATATGATTTTGATCTTGATCTCTCATCAAGGGACGGGAAGTCACCGTCGGAGGTCTGATGATCGCATCAGGGGCGCAGTCTTCCTTCCTTTAGCCGCTGGTGCAGTTGCAGTGGTGGTTTTTCCTTTTTGAGTTTGTGCATTTGGTGAATCTAAAACTGTAAAATATGTCAAAGCCCTCTGCTTCAAGGGTAATCAATGGCTTCCTCCTCCTCAGACTTCACCACAATCACCATCATCTAGTCAACCCACTGTCTCCCCCACTTCGCATCGCTTCTCATCTCCACCCATCAAATGCACCTCTTTTCCCATCAACGCGCCAAACCACCACCCATTTTTCCACACTTCCTTCCCCTTCCCCTTTTGGGAATCTACTTCGCCCTAATTACCCATCTGGGCTCAGGTTTTTCTCAGTCAAGTCACCGGACAAGTTCAATGGGGGTTTTGCTAAAAGGATTTTCGACAAGCCCGCAAAGGGTATCGCCTCTACCTTTGCCAGCTACCGCCAGGCCATTGGATTGCAATTTGAAGCGTTTTGGAAGAGCAATTACCTGGTTCTCCTGGGAGCCGGTGGACTACTCCTCTGTGCTTTGCTCTGGAGGATTATGTTCGGAATTGCCAACACTTTTGTGGGTCTTTCCGAAGGAATGGCCAAGTACGGCTTTCTTGCCCTCTCATCTGCAATTGTTGCTTTCACTGTAAGTTGCTGTCTTTCTTTCACCCAACTCAACTGCATTCACATTCCTTTTCAATTGTTTTTATCTTGCCTCCAATTTTTATCCTCTTATTCTTCTCATGCCCTACTAGTTGGATAATAGGTTAGATTGTGTGTGGGACTGAGACATAAAATTTTTCTTTTCTTTTTGGTTGAATAAATATGCTAGTATGCTATAAATTTAGGATTCCCTCAAATTATTATTATTATGTGGCATGATGGAACATCTTCTTTTTGAGGCTTTTAGTATTCAAGAAAGAGGGTGTATTTTTTTCGGTAAGAGCTTATCTAATCTAAGGGATAAAACCTTTTTCAATGTCAATGGTAAATGCTGCCTGAAGGAGCCTCATTAAAATGACGCTTGTCACTTAACATAGTTTATCTTTTAATCCAAACTTAAATTCATGGATGTTTGCTTTACCAGTCCAAATTCAGACATTGTTGTTAAAATTTTCCATTTGTTTCCTTTGATTTTTAAACTGTTAATATTGTTAGTATCAGACCCCCGGCACAAATTCAATGCTCCTTCTCAAGATCACCAGGGTTTCAATGCATCACTGTTTCATTTTTCCTGTTCTGTAAGACTCTAGATAGACAATTGTGGCATTTTATGGGAGAATAATGCCAGCTCACAACTGTTCCTTGTTGTTAATTTCACTGTTTTCAGGGGCTATATTTGCGCTCAAGATTTGCAATCAATCCCGATAAGGTTTACAGAATTGCAATGAGAAGGCTTAATACATCAGCTGGGATTCTTGAGGTCATGGGTGCACCTCTAATTGGAACAGATTTAAGAGCCTATGTAATGTCTGGGGGTGGAATTACTGTGAAGAACTTCAAGCCGGCACTTAGAAGTAAACGGTGTTTTCTCATTTTTCCCATACAAGGTTCTGAGAGAAGGGGTTTAGTCAGTGTTGAAGTCAAGAATAAAAAGGGCCAGGTTTGCTTTAGTAGTCCCCTAAACTCTCCTATTTATTTTTTGGGCAAACTGCTGTGTCTTGTGGTTGGACAAAAATCACTTGGTTTGAAGAGTGACTATTACCATCTTCTAGTCAAATTTTACACTTTTAAAACCCAAATTTAGTGCACAGATAAAACCTAATTTCAGCTTTTTATGTGTAGAAATCAAAATTATGAGATAGTTTGAACTGTGTTCTTCTCAAGTGTTATCACCAACACCTGTTTGTATGGAATATCCAGGGCCTCATCATTTCTTTTGATGTTGAGTGTCAAACATAGAACTTGGAAACTTCAGGGTAGGATTGTGTTTTATGGCAGCTTTTTCAAGTATTGAATCCATTTCCTTTCTTTAGGTAAATCTACATAACTCTTGTCTTTTCTTATAGTTTAGAGTTGAGGAGGAAGAGAGCTTTCTGTGAATTTACTTTGTGTGTCTCTTTGAAGTTTCAGCACAACATGCAACAGTTGTTTCTTTTTCTCTGGCTCCTTCTCTCCTTACTTTTGCTGCATAATCTTAAAGACGGAAAAAAAAAAGGAAGAAAGAAAATAGCATGGAGGAGGAATACATAACATTATTATATTTAATGAATATTTAATGATGTTTTCTTGAATGTTTCAAGTAATTTGGTATTTTCTATTTGCAGTATGATATGAAACTATTGGCAGTTGACATCCCAATGGCATCAGGACCTGACCAGCGCCTATACCTGATAGGTGATGAAAAAGAGTACAAGGTGGGTGGTGGATTAATCGCTGAGTTGAGAGATCCAGTGGTGAAAGCAATGGCAGCAACCAAGGAATTTGAAGATCTTGACCAAATTGAGGAAGAGGAGGATGCTGAACGAGAACTTCAGGAGGCAGAGAGAAAACGCCTTGAAGAAATTGAAAAACTTGAAAAAAGTGGCTCTCAGTGATATTTTGATGAGGATATTTTAACTGTTGATGCAGTTTTTTGTTGGAGATTGTTGAAACATGCTGAAGGTTTTGAAATTCTCAGATATAAAGAGTTGACCTTGGAGTCCCTTGCATTGCAGGTCCTCTAGAATTATGTTCTGCAAGGTTTTACTTACCATGACTGTTTGTTGACATTTTTGGGATTGGGAACTTAATGGTTCTACTGCTTGATTTGAGGGTCGAGACAAATAAAGCCTACAATATGGGTACCGTGCAGGATGCAAAATTTAATTTTTGACATTCAGTGTTAATAGTTGCTAAAGTTTAATCTGAGGGAACTTTGCATTTTCTGTTACATGCCTTAGCAGCAATTTCTAAGGTACTAACTGTGAGCGAACAAATCAAATCTTTTAGCCAGTTGTTTTAGTTTTTGATTCATATAATATATGTGCAGGCTGGATGTTGATAATCTACATCTACCTAATGATCAGGCTTCTCTTCTGAATGATTTTACAATGATTCCAGTTCCATTTAGAACCAGGAAAACTAAGGTTGTCAAACGCTGTCTTGGCACGTTGGTTTTGTTATTAAAAATGGTACATATCATATATTAAAATCTTTTACTTATTGTTTTGAATTTACTATTATAAATATATTTTTATATAAATGAAATATATAACTTTATAATTATATTTAATAAGCATAAAAAATTAATAGCTAAAAAAACTAGTTTTTTGAAAATTAAAAATATATTCAAAATGAAGAAATTTATAAAATATTCTTAGAATTCTTTTCTTTAGCCAATAAGAATAATATTAAATGGAATCAGTATATATTTTACATTTATTTATAAAGATTCATGGATTTAGGGTCAATCTCAATTAAAAAAATTCAATATTTATTTAAATTTGTAATACATTTCTTCAAATTTAAGCCTAACTAAGTAATCATTTAACCCATTTAATAAAAAAAATTTTAAATTCAATACATGATTTATATATATATTGAAAAATAGTGATATTTTATCAACAAAATAACTACATTGATAAATGTGTTTTTCATCGTACCATGTACCCCAAAATACTAGCCGACACTCTAAAATTTGACTAAAACACCCCAAATTTGACTGAAATGAAATGTAATCTTAAAACATATTAGATTAAATATAAAATTTGGTACAAACTCGGTACATACCGGCCAGTATGAAACGCAGTTTAACAACCTTGAGAAAAACAGTTGCACTTGGTTCAATTTGAATAATCGACAAGAAACTTTAAAATCTTTCTCAGGATTCGCTTTCCTGTTACAAACATAACCTCAAGCTTTGTTGGCAATGCCAGGAATCTAATTTATACAATTGGTTCAACCAATATATGGTAGTATACTTGTTCTACCACAAACGGAGTAAAATTCAACTTCAGAGCTAGTATATTAGCAATTCCACAAATCAGTGACACACACAAAGAGGAAGAAGAAAAAGAAGAAGAAGAAGAAGAAGAAATTACTTGGAATTTATTTCAAAAAGAACAATATCACTGTTCAGGATTCATAACACAACCCAAGAGTCAAAACAAACAAGATTGACCGAGACAAATGTAGTTCTAACTAGATAACACACGAGGCACAACCTCATCAAATGGTGCACTTACAAATTATGAAAAAAACAAGCTATTATTTCCATTCCAAAAAGATGGAGATACTTCAGTACCTATGCTCCAACTTCTCCTTTTCCTGGTAATGCTGCACGTACCTGCATCACAGGGCGCACACACAACCTCAGTAAATATACCATCAACATATTACAAGTATTCTATCTAAGCAACCTTGCAAAAGGAGTTGAATTTCGTCCACCCCAGGTCACTGCAGTGCAGGATTGTCAAAATCCAAAGGCAAATCTCAAATCATATGGTCTAAACATCTACCATATATATAATATATATGATTATGAACAATCCCTTCTAGTGTAAAGAAGATACCTCACCAACAACACCAAACCAGAGTACCATGTCATTAATCATTAATTTAATTTGCCACTTCAACTATCTAATTTTTGTGTGGAAAATATCAAATCTCTGTCATCAGGGGTTATGTAAAGACTACATACATTTAATCATTAATTTACTTGCGATGGCAACTGGAAAGGGTTTGTGCCTATATATATAATATACAAATTGAAACAAAATTATTGTATTGGGTGATGAAAATGCACTGCTGAAGCTGAAATAGAAGTGAAAATTGAAAGCACTTGTGTATGAAAAGGAAACAAATGGTATTCGATTTATCATCCAATCCAATCCAATCCAATCCAATGGCAGAAATTGAGGATGGTTTCGTGCCCTAATAGTAGAATGAGATTCAGTTTCAACTATTGGGTTGAAAATTGAAATTACAATTGACATATGTATCATAATAGAAACAAAATTCAGGATATACAAGGGCTAAAAAGAAAGAAAGAGGAGATGAGAAGGGAGGTACGTGTAAGTGCCGATGAGAGGAGTGAGGAGGAGAGTGGCACTAATCCAGTTCTCGGAGACCTTGTGGTGGATCTTCCCCGGCAGATCCTTCCAGAGGCCGGTCATTATCTTCTGTTGGAAAGGCGAGAGAGCGTAGACAACCGCTTTCATCCTCACCGGCTGCTTCCCCATTTTCTTCCTTCTCCCAACACCTCTGCTTCTGTACCCAAATCCCTATATTCCCAATTCCTATTTCATTCACAGCGGCACTTTATCTCCCTGATCTGGCTGGGCCGCTGGGATGGGCTGGGCTGGGCTGAGCTGTTTAGGTTAACTTAAAGGTGTTACGTAATCAATAACTTCAAGATTGAGGGGCAAAGTTCTATACAGTACACCGCGAGAGAATGAATAAATAAAAATATCAATTTTATAATTTTTTATTTAAAAATATTAATTTTTAATAATTTTTATTTAAAAATTAATTTAATA